GGTGAGCATGCCCAGCCCTTGCCCTCTTTCCCCTGCGCTGCTGCTCCTGCATCACTGTGGCTTCATGTCCACACACGCACATGGGATGGAGGACCTTGCAGTATCTGCTGGCCACCAGGGATGACATCCACGTGGCTTGGGCTGTGGTTCTCCTCCTGGAGACTGTGCCCACGGAAGGAGTGGATGAATGAAAGTGCAAGCAAGTGCCTGGTCAGGTGCCCATCTGTGGCTCGTCAGCAGGCACTGCTCAGAGGCACGCGCTCGGCAGTGGCCAGTCAGAAGGGCTTTTTGGTGTGAAAGTGATACTATAACTACAGTGCCAATCCTCTGTGCCCAGAGGGGTTTGTTCAGTGGAAATTTTCTACTTGAGAAACTAAAAATAAAACACTCATCCTGAGAACTTTCTTTTTTCAGTTTCAGGGGGCTGGTTTTGTTTCTGCTCCGTTTTGCATTGAGGGGGACAGGAAAAGCCAAACTGTCCTGGCTGTGCCTCTTCTTTGTCCTCTCCACTCCACTTCCCAGTGCACTAAAGAAGTCTTTCAAAACCTGACAGGAGTCAGGTTTGTTTCTTGCTAGAAAAGAGGTAAAAATGACTTCACAAGGAAAATAATAATGGAAGTTTCCTGTGAAAAATAGATAATTAACAGTTGCTCTCCAGTGCGTGTCCTGGAGGCTCTTCAGACCAAAGAGCATCTCTGCTGAGTGTTTCTGCAGCTCCAGGTACAGTGGGATCCTGAGCCATGAGCAGAAACTGTTGTAGTTGGGGAGGCATCAATCTAAGGGGCTACATACTGAAGAAGAGCCCTCAGACCTGAGGCACCCTGCCTGCCCCTCCGCAGCACCACAGGCCAGGCCTGGGCCCCCAGGTTTCACACCATCAGACCATTGCCATGGAAACTATCTCCAGGTACCTATTTCAGTCCTCCTGGGAAGCACACTGCTCCTCCTCCCAGCCACCACCGCACTGGCTCAGCCAGGGTGGTGCAACTTGCCCCAAGCATCCTGGTGCCTGCATGCTTCCCAGGCATGAGAGGGCAAAGCCACCAGACAGAGGAGTCTGCCAACACATTGCCAGTGGAGACTGAAGAGCATCATTATCCTCCTCCCTGAGCTTATGAGCATGGTAGGGTTGCTGAGCTCACCAAGGGCACTTGAGGACCTTGCTCCTAACCAGGGACGGCTGTCCAGCCTTTCTAGCTCCAGCTATCAGCAGGTCAGAGCACCTCTTCCCAAGGGAAGGGAGACAAATCCACCTCTTCTCATGACAACACCACCTTCACACCATATCTAGCCAGCGTGACACAACCTGCCAGCAGCGCTGGGCCAGCTACCTCCCACGCTCTCTGTTGCAGTGATACCACAACCCCGCAGCAACATCATCACTCACCATCTGGATGACAGACACCGGCCCAATGCTGTTCACGTAGATATCCACATCAATAAATGTGGGTTTGACTGTAAAGAAAAGAAAATAGGTACGGATGAGCTGGGGTTAGGATCGTTTGTGAAGGGGTGAGGACCAGGGGAGCATCTGGGATCAGCATGGCTTCATCTCACCAAAAATACCAACTACATCAGCCACAAAGCATGGAGAACAAAGGACACAGCCAAACCAGGTCACCACTCATGACCACAGGGAGCTTCATAGGGGACACTTACTGCCAATGTCAGGCCTCAGCTTGTTGTCATAGTTCTTCAGCAGCGAGTTGAGGATCTGCGTGGCATCAGTCTCCTGTGCCTTGGGGGTAAGGACCCAGGTTTTATTGATGCTGAGGTAATCGTAATCATATTCCTCTGTGCTCTCACACCTGGACCAGAGACAAAAGAAGAGGAGACATCGCTGTGGCATCTCTCTGGTGCTCTGTGGGAGTAGGGGCGTAGGTGGGTTTCAGTGATACTAAAGGAGGAGGATGCAGCACTGCTAAAAGGCAGATGATAAGGAGCTCAGGGATCTCAGCCACACTGCTAAGAAGACACAAGTCACCTGGCGCCTTTGCTCTTTCAGGGTCCCCAGATATGCAGGGGCCTTGCCACCAGCAGTCAGGACTAGCAGGCATGGGGTGCTCCACATCCTCCCCAGCTCCCTTTGGAGACACACAGCTCATCCCCAAAGCATGGGAGCCAGTCCCTGCCCTGTTCCTGCCCATCCCACTCCTGGCCCTCTGCTGCCAGCAGCCTCTGCTCCTGGAGCTGCCTGTTAACCCCAGGTACCTCAGCTGCTCTGCCTGCTGCTTGCACCTGAAACGGGCTTCCTCTGAGAAACAGCACAGTGACCAAACAGCATTTTTAGGGAGCAAGGCATTTACAGTAAAAACATTTCAGAGAAAAGAGGTTCTAAACCTATGAAGCGGGCAGCATGCACGTCTGGCTTGCCAGGGAACCAGCCATCTGCCCTGCGCAGATCCTGGGAAATTAAAGCCTTATGCAAACTCCGTGGCCCTCAGGCCAAGACCTGCCACAATCCATTCCCTGTACTCGCCTACCCTTCCTCCCTAGCCCTTGGTGTGAGCTCCCATTTAAAGTTGCTCCATCTTCCTGATCTAAGCCACACGAGGAAAGCTTGCATCGTCCTTTGGACATGATCCGCTAAGCAACAGCTTCTCTCGCTGCCTTTCAAATCTGCCCTCTCTAAATCTTTCATGCCCCTCCCTTTTCCTAAAGGAGTTAGGAGTTCCTAAACCCTCTAATTAAATTAGGTCAACATGGTCAGCTGGGAAATTCTAACCACCTGCTGCTGCTCTGGGCAGCTCATTCACAAGAAGGTCCCCAGAATGACACAGCCATCTGCAGGAGAGGATGCCGAGCAGTCCCACACCTGGCACAGCACCCTCGATGTCTGCCATGTCACTGTGTCACCTGCTCCAGCGCCAGAAAGGGTCTCGCAGCGGGAGCTGCTGCTGTGTTGACACTTCCTAGCTGGAGCCTCGCAGCTCGGAGGTGCAATCAGGCACCGCCGGCACTTGTCTCCCTTCAGCACCGAGGGAGGCAGAGCCTGGCAAAGGTCCTTGAAGGGGGGGGGAAAGCATTAAATTGACACATTGCAGTCAGTTTATCAGATGCTTCTCTTTTAAAACCCCAGATAAAACTTGCTTTCACAATCACTTTAAAACGCTGCACCTGCCCAGCTTTCCGGTGCTGGGATGGGTCCCCCGACAAGGGCTGGCTGCGTGCAGCTGGCTGCCTGCGCCGCAGCTTAGGTGCTGGCACATCGGCTTCTTGTTTCCTGTCTGATTGCGCTGCGCTTTCTAACGATGCTCACGGAGCCTTAAGCAACGCTGTCAGGATGCTCTTCCCTGACTGAGCAGCGGCAGCGCGGGCTGGCTTGGCAGTCATGCCGTGGCGTGCCTTCGACATGCAGCCGAGCAGCGGGCCCGCCCGACATGAAGAGGTACACGTGTCGCTGCCCACAGCCCAGCTCAGGGCAGGGGAAAGGAATCCTAACTGCCTTCCCTTGCTGCCAGTGTTTTGGATGACGCAGGCTGCCTCTAGCACAGTGGGAACAGCTACACCAAAACCTTATCTCAGTGTTCCCTTGACCTTACTTGAAGTCAGCCCAAGACAGGTCACCTCCCGGCACTCAACTCCACGTGCCCCACTGCCCTGCCAAATCCAGTTCCTGCAAGCCCTAAGGACACGGCAGAGTCTGAAACACACCTCTGGGGCCGGACAGAACCAGGCTGGTTACTCTGACCTCAGCCTTCTGGCTTCCCCCTGTTTAGTGGTGCTGATTAACACTCCAGGGCTTGGGGTAGCATTTTCAGGGAGTCACATCCCTATTACAGATGCAGTGATGCTACCAAAAATATGCTTTTTGCTAATGCAGCTAATCCTGGACTACTAAACCATACTAAGCCATCTTAGCATAAGCAAGCTGGAGAAAATATGCTTTTGCTGGGTGTCTGTGCACACACAGACACACACTAGCTCTTGCTGGTCAGGAGTGTGACTCTCGTGCCACCCTATACAAGCCCCTGCCTCCTCCCCAGTCTCTCTTCCCAGTGGCCCCACTTCAAATCAAGAAGGGAAGACAAGAGGTGTTGCAGAGGAGAGGAATTAAGGTGACGTGTGCATGTCCCCTGCCAGCTGCTAATGGAAATGTCACACTGCAAACCTGCCGCGATCCCCAATGTGCCATGAACACTTGCCGGCCTGGTGGCTCCGTCTCCTCGCGCAAAGTGCCTCGCTCGATGACAGGGGACAGCCAGTTCCCATATGTCCCCGTGCAGCCAGAAGGAAAGGCAGAGCCACGTTTCCTCACCTCTGCTTGTTGAAATGTCAAAACATCTGCCTCACAGCACTCCTGCGCCTGGCCACGGGGCTGGGACGCAGCAGCGAGCGTAGGCAGGGGTGTGACGGCAGGGCAGAGCTGGGGACGTTGTGAGGAAACCCCTGGTCTGACAGCCGCCGTGGGGGCCATAGCAGCTCCCGCTGGTGCCCAGAGCAGGAGGCCTGCACGGCAGGGAGATGTCCTTTCGGATGTGCTCACCTATATGGATGGGGTTGGACAACCCTCCTTGGGTAGCCCCTGGCATTACGGCAGCACAGTGCTCTGCCTTGCCTCCCTAATTCTGTTTTACTCGGGAAGACACTTGTTCTCGCTGAGGTTTCCAAGCACATGGATGGGCAAAGTAAAAAGCCACTCACAGAGCTGGTGGCTGACTCTCTCTCCCAGTGCCCAACCTGTCTGACAGGGTTTCCCTTGGCAGGAGGAGGGCAAAAGCAACATGTGCCATGAGACCTCAAAGACACCTTTTGCCTTGTAGGACAGCCGATGGTGCTTGTCCGGGATGCATACCCACTACTGTTTGCAACCTGGTGTGTTAATGAAGACTGAGACTGGTAAATTTTGTACTGAGAGCTGCACGCTCTGGGGAGGTGACACATGCACTCTCAGCCATCCCTAGCCCTGAGGCAGGAACGTGCGGGAGCAAATGCAGGTACTGGGGCTGTGATTGTCCAGCCCCTCTCCAAAGGCTATTCAAAGCCTCTCCTGCTCCCGAGGAGCAGATAGCAACAAAACACCAGAACAACACTGCCCTTTGGTTGAAAAGCACTTTGGGCAGTCCTGATTATCACATGCTAATGTGTCCTTCTGGCCACCCAACCTGTGCCTGCCAGGGCTGTAGGCACAGGGACGTTCCAGCAGATTACTCTAAATTAGAAGCAGGCAGAAGATGTAAAGACCAGGAGCTCGCTAAACTGTACCCTACCTGTTTCACATGTCTTTGTACCTGTTGTTTCACAGCACACTCCATGAAGCCCCAATGGTCAAGTCTGCACAGTTCCAACCACCTGCCAGGCCCAGCTTTCTGGTGGTGTGATGCTGTGCAGGGATCCTGCCTTCAGGGCTCGGAGTTGGGTGCCTTGGTCCCAGCTGAGGCAGTGCCCTGGGATACGCTGGTGAATTAGGCTCTGCAGTGGGGGGGGAACCATCTGGGGAGTGCTGAGTCACCCAGCACAAAGCACCCAGCCCCCTCCAGCACCAGCGGATGGGTCTTGCAGCTTGTGCCACAAGAAGAGCTTGCACACATGTGGCACCTGAACTAGGCTTCTCACCCCGGCACCCAGCATCAGGCGCAGGGCAGGTGAGATTCACCCCCCACAAGCTGGAGCCGGGAAAATGCAGTGAATACAGAGTAAGACCCTGGTATAACTTGCTCCTTTTCTCCTTCTCCCACAGGCTTCCTCTCCCACTCCATCACCCCCCCAACATGCACAGCCACTGTTCCTGGGGAGGCAGCGCTCAGGGAAGAGGCAGTCATGAGAGACCAGGCAGAAGGGAAGCTGGGCCAGCTACAGGGTAAATCTTCCCACTCAAGGGCATGAGAATACACCACATCACTGCTCCTCCATGTGATCCTGCAGCTTACGGCTCACCCTCTCAAAATGCAGTGCTTGTGGCAGTGTGCTGCAGGGATGGTAGGACACAGGAACCGGGACCACCACGGACCCCCCTCTCAGCCCTCAAATGCCCCCCAGCAGCAGCATGCTGGCGAGAGGCTGGGTGTCAGGGCATGGGCCGTGGGGCAGCTCTCGCTGCCTGGACCCTGGGAAAGCCAGACCTCGGGGGACCGTGGCAGGGACGGACTTTCTGCTCGCACCTGAGGTCGGCAGAGCAGACCATTCGTAGCAGGATTCATGCCCCCCCCCCTCCCCCAC